CTATAACAACAGAAAAATGTACTACTGTACTTTCAATAAAGCAATCGTACTGTCACATTCACAAAAACTCTGAATGCATTGCTCTTCTTAATGGGTTCAGCTGACTATTTAATCTGCAATTTCCTATGACCTGTATCCCAAACACACACTATGTGAAACTGTGCACTCAATGGGTATGGACTAGTATTATATATATTCTAAGTATTTATATTACAGAGTGTATGGGCTATATTTTATGTTTTATTTTAGCTTGAATGTCTCTTCTTTCCAGTTTCCCTACACAATAATACTTTTTTATTGTAACAAGTCATGTTGTGCCTTTATTTAAAGTGGGAACAGACAACCAGAACCGAGCAACTACCAACAACACAGGACACACTGCTTTTTTTTCACAGTTACTTTGGTTTTTTTCGCTATCAGGGAAAACAAAAGTTCCGTCTTCTTCCTGTTTTGGTGGTTGATGCACTTTCTTTGTGCCGTAAATCAAGCGTTCATTTTCTCTGAAGATCGTACTTGGTGGCAGATTTGCATTGTAAAAACAAGACTCATTGGGAGTAAATCAAAATGCTGATTGTGTCACTATCAACGTTTACTTTACAGTGATAAGTTAGAGCAAAAAACTTGTCTATTTCTACTTAAAATAAATTAAAAATATTGTCAAATTCAATTTCAATTTAGCACAAATCAACTTGTTTTCCCTGAATTTTCAAGAAATGAGTATCAGCATCTTTAACACAACAGGACAGACCACAGCTGCAGTAGAATGAGATAAATAATACAAAACATACTATAACATACAGATAACACACTATATTAGATTTGAAATTAATTTGAGGATTGAGAGAGAAATAGACATCAGATTCAAACTAGCCTACCACCAATCAAAGGCTCCTTAATGAAAGAAGGAAGGAAAGAAAGAGACAGAAAGGTGATGAAGTACAATGAAATCTTAGTTTCCAGCCTTGTCCTCCCCTGAAGGTCGCCTCCTGCTGTGGCCGATGTGGAGGAGGACTGTGCTCAGAGGAGGTGGGATGGCCTTCATAGTCGGCTGCTGGCTCTGGAAGAGAGCTGGCTTCTTCCTCCCTCTCAGGTACGGCCTTCATCGTGAAGTGCTTGATTATCACTTTTCAAATACAAAAGAGAAAAGGAAAATTGGTGTTCTCACCGTGCTTGATTATCACCTTCTTTGAGCCGAAAGGCACTTTGTTGTCTCGTGGCGTTATGGGGACTCCTGCGGGGCTTGTTAAGAGTCGTGGGCGTCTCCAGCTTCTGATGTTTTTCTCCCTGTCTCCTGGTCTATGACTCTCTCTGTCTCTCTCTCTCTGAAGGTGACAGACTCATCTACGAGGCGCGGTGATGGAACAGCAGGACACATGATTGGCACACAAACCCTGAAAGAGCTCCAAACCCACATCAGCCATCTGAGAGAGCTGGGACACACAGCGACAGAGACTCAGAGTCAGGTACAGGGAAGTTATCATGGCTGTTTATCGGAGAAGATGTATGATGGGACGTGACCCCAACTGGACAGTCAGTACGTTTACATCACACTTGAAAAAAACGAATTATTGCCTTAATCCGACTATAACTAGACAACTGAAGTGCATGTAAACGCCTTACTCCGACTAATATCGGAATTCTCCGACTCCGATTAAGACACCCAGATAATGCGATTGGAATTCGATTTTCTACGGCATGTATACGCCGTAATCGGAGTTAAACTAGACAATGCATGTGCGCATGATCCACATCCCCCGCGCTGGCGTATGACCTCGGAACAGACAAGACATGCTATTGTTGTAGCCCTCCAACAGCATATGGCGTTCTTGTCTGCCTCTCAAAATCACCATGACCACGAAGGATAGTAGTAACGCTTACATTACGTACGAGATGAACAAAGCTGTACGATTATCCATCTTGCTGTTGTTCGAAAATGCCGGTCTGCCGTCTGACTCCAGTTGTTTATTATTAAGTGACGTAATAGGTTAACCGGAAAGGGGGCCGTATTAACCAGCTGAAACGACGCATATCGCCACTTAGTGTTGAGGAGGAAAACACGTTCCCGTCAGTAATTCAATTTTCTCACAGAAGTCCAATTAGACGCCAAAATCGAATTTTGAGCATAGCTCGATTAAGCTGTGCATGTAAACGTACTGAGTGACTGTAACTAAAGATTCCCTCAGCTGAGCTGTACATTTAGCTAGCTCACTGATGCTAGGTGAGCTAGCAGTAGATGCATGCTTCCCTCTGCACAGTTAGGTCCCGGTCACACAGAAAGCGTTTTAGCAGCTGGAGGCAGCTTTTTGTAACTTTTTTTAATGAGATTAGAGGTTTTTGCTTGTGGTTTGTGCGTTGCAATGCGCCTCACATTTCTGCACTCTAGGCACCTGGCATTTTAGCCGGAGCACTCTGAACTCCTCAAACTGAAAAGACTTCAACTCAGAGCAGAAAAGCGCCCCATGTCATCTCTTTATTCGGATGAATTGAGAGGCGGGCCTTCTGTGGTGGTCACGACAACAAGTTTACAGTTAGTAAACAATGGAGGAGAAACTGGTGGCAGCAGTTGCTGGATACCCAGAGCTATACGGCCCGTTGGTATATGCCTGCAAACAGGCATCATGGAGGAGAAGCTCCTGGACCAACTGGTGGTACTCCATGATCCACCGTCTTTTTTAGGGTCTCATGTACCCACACAGGTCTCTGTTTCCCTGTGCCCAACAAACTATTTACTGGCAGCCTCTCACCCTCAACCAGAGCCACAGCATGTACCCTCTGCCTCAACATTTCAGGAACTAGATACATTAAATCCCAATCAGAGGAGGACTGGGTTGATGTAAACTTTAGCGGCCGTGGCTCAGAAGGTAGAGCAGGTTGTCCACTAATCGTGAGATCAGTGGTTCGGTCTCCAGCTCCTCCTAACTTATATCTCTCTTATAAGGTCCCATACTGTAAGTGATGAATAGTACAGAAGAAAAAAGAAACTTCAGATTCCACAAGAGAGCCCAGAAACTCTAATAAACACTGACACATTTAAGAAGAGTAGTGCTGTTTGTATTAGAGCGTAAAAAACACAACTGAGTCTTTGTAGATCAGATTTCAAACCACATTTGTCTTTGTTTGAAATCTTGTGAGCTGGAAATGAAAGATGGATTCCCCGACATGTTTTTTTTTCTTAGCCCACCACAGGACACACATTTTGACATCACACTTAACAAGATGAAGAGCAGGAAACAACAAACACGAAAGAAAATCATTGAGAGTGATGCGTGTCGTGCCTCCTCAAGCAACACCCTTTAGGAGGATACCAGCTTCTCCTCTTCCTCCTCTTTCTCCAGATTGATGTTCTGTATACGATCTGACATTAAATGCATCATGACAACAGTCAGAAAAAGCAACAACACATTCCCACCTGATTGATTAAATACTTGCATCATTTAAAGTTTTGTCATCTGTAAGTCTTTAACAGCTTGACTAACCTGTCCGACCCCAGGCCTCAGCTGCTGACGGCGCCCATCAGACGCTGGACGAGGGTTTGTTTCATGTGCTACACGGAGCGTCCCTGTCTCTGTCCTCTATCAACAACCTGCTGCAGTCGCCTGCTCGGACGACGCATGAAGAAGACACACAGCTGAAGCTGCTGCAGCTGCAGGTCGGACTAACCACAGCAAACACTCAGCAGGGTTCAGTTATTTTGGGATTGGTCTTGGGTGAGGCGATGCACTGCTGTGGTCTGGACTAAGGGTGCTTTCACACCTGCCCTGTTTGGTTCGGTTCAATCAAACTCAAGTTCATTTGCCCCCTAAGTGCCGTTCATTTGGGCAGGTGTGAACACAGCAATCACACTGGACTGAGACCTTCTTGAAGAGGTGGTCGAAACGAACTCTGGTGCAGATTCTCTCTAAACAGGCCTTCCTCTGATTCCTTTACAGAGTCTCTCGGCAGAGCTGACTACCCTCGGCAGCGAGCTGTCCTCTCAGGGGTCAAAGGTCAGCCGTGTCCTGGGGTCACAGTGTGGTCAGCAGTGTGTGGATGACCTGTGTCGAGTGCTTCCTGTGGTCCAGGCTGCGCTGAGCAGCAGAGAGAAGCAGCTCACACACCTGCAGGAGGAGACGGCAAAGCAACAGGTCAGATATCATCACTAACTTTAATTAAATTTCACAAGTGAAAACAAGAACACACTGATGCACCATGGGATATTTGAATAAGCCCATATTTAATCTTATTTTAATGTTGACTGTATCTATGTTTATAACCTGTGTTAGCTGTCCTACTGTCCTTTATTATAATTATACTCACCTCCTCTATGTAACGAGTCCCACACTTACCTTATCTAATATATTTATATCACAAGTATTATTATAAACTTTTAAATGGAGTCTGAAAACAGAAATAATCTTTTCCTGTTATTGAAAATGAAACCTTTGATGTTTGCATGCCACAGTTTACAGACACAGTGTGTGTGTGTTTAACCAACAGATACAACTAAATGAGTTGCATGCAGCCTTCGCTTCTAACCAGGCGACGGTTCACCAAATAACTCATGAATTCAATGGAAGCCTGGGCCTTAACAAACAACTACAGGTACTGTTTCCATAGAGATATTTAACTTTAACATGCTGCTCATAATCTGAGTGATTCTGAGTGAATGTTTGATGGTTTAAGAGCTGCAGAGATTAGGCTATTGACAGAAAATCGATCAGCAACCATTGTGATTATTGCTTACAAATAGGGTTGCAATGGCATTAGATTTTTACGTCTTAGAAAATAGCGCAGTTTTTGGTATCACGGTGTTGAAGAATTTATCTTATTATCAATCACAGTGACCCTTAAATAGGAGGAAATAAAAAACACTTAAAACTCAAGTAAAATCAGGAAAGGCTCTCCGATGAAAGTTTGTTTTAAGAGGTTTAAGAGGTGTCAAAATGAATGTCACTGCGGTAAGTAAAACACTGTGAGTCATAGCACAGAGATACTGAATTGGTAACATCCTACTGTAGACCATGTACCAGTATGTGTTGTGTTTGTGTCACTGACACTGTGGTAGAGAAGTATTTACCTTCATGCAGCAAGCTGTTTGTGATGCTGGCACGGTGAGATGTAAATAACTAAACAACTTGAGGGTTAGCCAGAGACGTAGGCATGTTCAGATAAGTGATTCAACAGGTCCGACTGCTTGTCATGAAGTTTGTATTGGACACAGTGTAAATGTGTGTTTATCTTCCAGGCTGTGGTTCAGATGCAGGAGTCTCTGCAGCAGCAGGTGGAGCAGGTGAGCTCCCTGCTGGAGGAGTCTGACCGACACAACCTGCCTGCATCTTTCATCCACCAGGCCTCACAGCTGCAGGTATGATTCTGTAGCTAATGTATGTTAAATCTCAGTCTGCTGTGTGGAAATTTACTCCCTAAAGATAAAACTAAATAAGCGATCATCCAGTTGCCACAAGCATGTCTACATCTTGATGTTATGTTTCCGTTCTGTGTGCAGGGGGAGCTGACCAGTGCTGTGGGTGGTGTTCGCTCCCTCTGTGAGGAACTGAAGAACAGTGTGGAGCTGCAGCAGCAGTATGAGCGGCTGGTCCACAGCCTGGAGCAGCTGCTCGCGCTGGGCTCTGAGCGCCTGGCGCAGCAGCCTGACACAGAGCTCCACAGCAGAGCTCAGCTCCAGCAGCAGCTCAGCAGTCACACGGTCAGTCTGTGGGATACAAAGAAAACACAGTTTCAGTTTCTAAAAGTAAAAGCTTAAGAATACAGTCTTTAAATGAAACATCCATTTCTGTTTTCAGAAGTTCTTCCAGCTCCTGGGGCATCATTTTAAGATCCTGCAGTATCTGACCCAGAGAGTCCCTGAGAGCGCCCTCCAGAGGTGGGAGGGTGTAGTGATGGGCCTGCAGGAGGAAGTGACCCAACTGCAGCAGCATGGACTGGAGAAAGGGGCCAGGATGCAGGAAACATTACAGGTAGTGGATGGAACGCAGCTTATTTATTTGAGGAGTAAGTAAGAATGAAAGCATCAGCATCATAGACAGCAGTTGGTTTGTGGACTCCCATTTTGAAGCCTTGAGTTCAGCATTTAGACCATCGCCATCTTGGATATTTGGAGCCAGAAGTGACCATATTTGGATGAGAGAGGGGAGCTGTGGAGGTGTCAGGGGTGGATCTGACTCATAAGCCCCTTTGACACAAAGATCCCATGATGGGGTTATAATGAATTCCATCCAGTATGCCACCTGTGCTGTTTAATACAGAACCAAATAATGCCCGCATAATGTCACCCCAGAGTATGATTTTAGATAGCATGCTGGCATTCTGGAAGCGAAGGAGACATCATCGGCCTTTAGTATGACATAAACACATTGGGCAGGGCTCTCTAAACAAACACAAAGGCACAACATGGCATTAACAATCATTTACTGTCCCTGTTATATGGCGGTTGATCTTGTCCTCTGTTGGAAGGGGAAGGAGCTCCCGAGACTGATTGCTATCTCAATTCGCGGACATTTTCAGTTGCTATTCTTACTCTGTGAATCAACTGCTAACTGCTGCTGGCTGCTTTTGAAATTTTCCGGCACCTCCATCAGACCATGTCTGGTATTGGTGGCTCACATTTTTTACACTGATGTTGATTTGGTGCTGTTACTCCCTGCGCTGTCGGCTTAAAGGTGACAGCGCAGCAACAACTCTGTTTTCCATTCCCACTCTGGGATCGTACCTTTTATACAGAACAGCAAGGCTGAATAACGTGACATTCGCGCCTTAAACACCTTGGCACAGGCTGTCACTCAAAGCTGTCCTGCCCTCATGCATGAAATGTAAACAGGTGAGTTATATAAAAATTCACCTCCCATACAGCTGTCGTGAACATAGAAATTAGTTGTAGAGACCAAAACTTTGTATGTAGGAATTAAACATGTATATTTCTGCTTTAAAATCATTTTAACATGGGGGTCTGTGGGGATTGAATCACATTTGAAGCCAACCTCAAGTGGCCATTAGAGGAACTGCAGTTTGTGGCACTTCCATGTTGGTTTCATTTTTCAGCCGCAGAGGCTGCTGCTTGCTAAGCATCATCTCATAAGGCCACTCGCTGAAGTCCCGCCTTACCACCTCCGGTTGTGTAGCAGTTTTCAACCGTTTCAACACGTCCTTTACTAACTTTTGCGGTATTTGATCTTGCGGGGATGTAGCCATTTTTCTGCCATGGTTCGCATCCTGTAGGCGATATTTTTGTGGGCGTGTTACACCAAAACCTGTTTCCCCCCGGCAATATTTTTGCAAGCGCACCGTTGCTGTCTCCTGCATATTTACGATATGAATGTAATTATTAAATGATATATTTTGGTGGTTTGAGTTGAAGGTGTGAGAAAGAATAGTATCAGTAACATTGTTAACACTGTGCTACATTATAGAGAAATACAAAACCGTTGTCTTGTCCCACATGCACGTAACCCTGTGCAAACTGACAAGCAGCTAAACACTTTCCTCCATCAAGTACTGGAGACTGAAATCTTCGAATGTCAGTTTATTGACGGAGAAAAAGGGTGAAACTGAAAAAACAAGCACAATCACCAAAATATATTAGAAAATATATCAGCCAGCAGAGTAGCTAACATAAAGTGTAGCTAACCTACGGTGTAGCCAATCTAAAGCTTGCAAAATAATATGAACTAGTGCGATAATAAACAAAGTACTGTATGTACAGTAAAACAACCTCTATCACATATTTAAATAAATGTGCATGTATCACAATACAAACCAAGACTAGCCTACTAGCGTACTGTAGCATGCTAGCATGGTGCCATGTGAGCTAACAATCATGAAAATAATCGTATTGTACATTAAACTGAACAATAATATGCAACAGAAGCAAAGGAACAATACTTCAACTTTCATTTGACATACCGAGAATGCTACCAGAGACGTCTAAGATTGCAGCAGATTGAAACAGCATGTGCAGTCCTGTGGCTGCCCTGTTCGTTATAAACTGCCTTACTGAGTCACATGGTGCAAAGATCAGATACTTAAAGGCACACACTACAATAATACAAACTACTGACAGCAAGAGGAGATAACTGAACTAAAGAAAAATAATGTCCTGCTGGGGACAGAACAACCGTACTAATGACCCATCATTAATATAGACCTATATTTTATCTACAAGTGCACGTCACACACTGAGCGAGCCGCCTGTTAATGACTCTGTGGGCTAATGGGCATGTAGCTACTTCCATGTTTCAGATGATACGTCATGTTTGTAGTCGACCAATGAAGATGAGTTTACACATCACCTTGGGTTCGTCCTTCACCTTCTCAAAATGATCCCACACTTTGGATTTCCTGCCCGACATGTTATTAACTAGCCTGTGGAATAACCGCAGGTACCAGCCCTGGAAATTAACCTGACTCCTGTCTGACTGCTGAGCGTGGTCACTTCCTGTGTCTGTCCTTTCAAATTAAATTCCCACATGGTCCAGTCATATAGATTTGGATTTATTTTGACAAGGTACGGCTCCTAATAGAGTTTCACGATTTTTGTTTGTTTGTTTTTTTCCTGCGACTAAGTGACCAATGAAATCTTGCCGATTATTGGCCTATCTGGTCGACTAACGTTTGGTCGACTATAAGGGGGCAGCCCTACTGTCGACTCTTAGATTTAAACATATTAGTATTAGAATCAGAAGAATCATTAACAATCTCAGAGTTAAACTGAATAAACAGAGACGTCTCTTCTGACTACCGTCATTTCTCCATCTGTCTCAGATGTGGTCACAGTGGGAGGAGGACAGCGCCTGGTCAGGATCCCTGCTGACATCCATTGAGACTTCATTTCCCAAGACGCACGAGGGGGTTGATTGTGAGGAGCAGATATCAGAGAAGCTCTCTGTCTACCAGGTAATTTTGATTAATACTTATGTTCTTTCTGTTGGAGGATAATTGTGATTTACCAACAAGCAGGCGACCATCGGACCGAGCGCATTTTGTCAATGTTCCATTCTGCTCATTTGGAGACTGTTGGGCGCTCTCCATGCTGCGCCTCGTGCATTGCACTCAAAACCTAATTGGCTCAATTAAATACAAGCAAATGGGTTGTTTTCTTCAGGGGTACATGATGTTCCCTGTGCTTTGATGTGAGTTATTAGCCAAGCAGAGACCTCCATCTACAAAGCATTATGGTTCATATTCCCTGTTGCTCTGCTGTGGGATTGGAAATGTGTCTCTTATTCGCCTGAGATGGACTACAGTAGGCACTGCAGCGTGTTCAGCGGTCAACAAAGAGTGTATGTAGTGAAAGATGTGGGGAAGGGGGCAGTGAGGGAGGGAGACATTTCAGACTCAGTGTGTTACACTCAGTTTTACAACACCAGGCTCAACTTTACTCAGTTTTACATCAGTTTTGGCTGTACTGCGATACAGTGTGCTAATTTGAGAGCTTACAGGTGCTAGGCAGTGTATTTTCAAACTTTGGATGGAGTCATGCTACCTGTTTTTCCCTGCTTCTTGTCTTTATGCTAAGCTAAGCTTTTCGCCTCTGGTTGACCTTTAAATTCAGTTAATTGTGGCTATCTCCGTTATTTTATACAGTCTATGTACCAAACACACAAAAACATGAAAGTTACAGTGATCCTCTCGACTAACTCTTTAACTGAGTAATCAAGTAAGTGTTAAGTGCTTATAAACTTTAGTCTTTGTGACAGGAGCTGCGTGGGGTTCTGGAGGGGAACAAGGCGCGGTTCAGTCGGGTGTTGGAGGTGGGGCTCTGGCTGCAGGCGGCGGGATGCAGAGGAGTGGGCGTGTCCACCAGAGAGCTGAAGACCTGCTGGAGAGCTCTGCACAGGAAGATGGAGCACAAATGCACAGATGTAGAGAGGAAGAGGAAGCTGAGGAGCAGGTGAGAGATGAGAAACACTTGTCCTCTGTTTCGACTAAAGAAAACTGTAAGGAGTATTAATTGTTTCAAATATTTTTCATAAGGCTTAGTTTTGACTTGTATTTTTTGATTTTCATTGAAATGTTGACATTAATCCCCCAATCTATATATGCAGTACAATTTAAATGAGAATTTTAATACAGTAAACTTTAAATAAAACATATTCAGACAACTCAGTATTGTGGTGGATTCGTTAATCAAACATTTTCTATTTTCCACTAATAAACAGGTTTTTCCGTGACTCTGCTGTACTGGCTGACTGGATGGGCGGGGCCAGAGAGCTGATAGACAGATGCAGTCAGCTCTCTGTCTCAGCTGAGGAGGAGGTGGACATCAGACAGAGGCGCGACCAATACCTCCAGTTTGTGGTGAGCAGCAGTTGGAGAGACACCCAAAAAACTCACTCATTATACATAACAAACTCCACTGAGAAAAGAGCTCCTTAACATTTCATACATTTTAAAATACCTCATATATTGTAATGATGAAGACTTGAGCACAGTCTTGGCCTTCGGATTCCTGAAGTCAGAAAATGAAATAGGATTAAAAGGAGGTTCTGACTACACAGCGGTTGAGAGATTGACCATTTTGATGATAGTCGATCTCTCAACCGCTGTGTAGTCAGAACCTCCTACACACTGGACACTGGACCTCCTATAATTGCAAAAAGTCAGAGTGTTTATAAGCTGAAAAGTAAGTTGAAAATATCAGATATTTTGGCAATGACCCCACAGACTACCCAGTCGTGCAAAACACAATAACAAACCTGTTCTGTTTTAGACTTTGACCAAAGAGCTTGAGGCCAAATCTGACCTGAAGGTGGCTGTAATCGGTGCTGGAACCCAGCTGCTCCAGCTGAGGAAGGAAGACGGAGACTCAGAAAGATTCCCAGAGGACAAAGACACTTCACTCTCTCAGACTTCAGACCCAAATCTCTGCTCTATTGAATCACACCTCAGACAGATAGAGCTGGACTGGTCCAGTCTGCTGGCTGATGTTCCTGTCCTGCAACAAGCTCTGCATAAGGTGAGGAGATTTACTAGTAGTTTGTGACTTCCATAAAGTTAATATGCACAGAACTTGTTACATACACACTCTTCAAATTTGCCTCAAGGAACATTAAAGTCCACCTGACTAGATATTCTGCCTTTTTGAATTTCTGAAGACACATATTTGACGTCTCCTCTTAAACTGTAGGTCCAATTTCTGCCTAATTTTCTGTGGATCATTTCTGGACCAAGCTTATTGAAGTTTGCAAGTTCGTTTTAATCTTTTCGTTTTGAAGCTTTTAACCAATAAACTTTGGACGTGTAAGCCTCTAACTCATCACTGTATCCTGTATGCTCAGGTTGGCCGGCTGTCTTTAAAATTCCATAGACTTTTTCATTAGCGTTCTCTAAAAATAAAATAAAATAAAACATATAAAGGGCGTGGCTTGATACAAATCACACTATAAATCAAAAATTGTTTGTCCAGTCGTTACAAAACTCACAGGATATGTTTCATAACAATGTTGAACCACGTGTGTTAAACTATTTTGAAAATGCTCAGTAGGGGGCGCCACCACATCCAAACATGTGCACCGTCCTGGTGCAAATTTGGCCATAAATTAATGACAGTTTGTCCAAACGTCACCAAACTCAGTGGATATTTTAACTAAGCTTCTGAAATGTGCGCAAAATGTTTTTGACCAATGCAGGGTCACGGCCGAAGAAGAGCATGGTCCAGCACAAGTGTGGTCATAAATGAATAAGCTTCCATCCGATCGTCGTAAAACCTATTCGTTGTTTTTAAACACAGGTATCAGACACCATCAAAGGTCTTAATCCTTCGCTGCTTTTAACTTCTATCGTTCTAAGTTGGCTTGAACTTCGAAAATTGCTGCCTGAAGCCATACTTAAATTGATTTGCTGTCACTTAGACGGATGGTGTTTGTGCTCTCTTGGCTTCAACAACTTTTTCTTAATATTCATTGACCTTTTTATTGTGGTATTTTTGACCAAAATAACAAAAGAAATTAATTTTTTTCGTCCTCACGAATTTCTAAAATGTAAAATTTGATCCTAAATTTGCTTCTTCTTGCCCATGTGCACAGAACATATTCAAAAACCACGCTGCATTCTTCCTGTCACCAATTAGTTGTAAACATCCCCACCGCGCAGCACAAAGCCATCCTGAGGACTCTTCTCGCCCTTATTGGTGTGAAACCATTCTCCCCCCATCCATCTGTCTGTCTGGATCCTTCTTTCTTTAATTCTGCTTCCCTGCCTCTTCCAGTCTTCTTCCATCCTCTCCTCTTCCTCAGCCTTTCTGTCCCATCTTCCCAACCTCCTCTCCTCTCAGCTCTCTTCCTATTCTTCTTCATTCCCTCTCGTCTCTTCCTCCTGCTGTTCTTGTTAGTTTCTTCTCCTCACTTCAGTTTTTGTCGACTCCTTCGATTCATCGTCCTCTCTCCTCCTTTTACTTTTTTCTGCCTTTAATTTCAAGAGATAAACTTTTTAGAGATAAAGTTTTTAAGCTTATTTCAGATAAATGCATCACACAGGTCTCTCAGAAACAAACACTAAAACAAAACCCATCACAGCTGACTGTACGTTAACGGGGAAGAGGCAGTGAGGGTCGCAGGCTTTAAGTTCCTGGGGGTGCACATAGCTGAGGACCTGACCTGGAGTCTGAACACCTCCCACATCATCAAAAGAGCCCAGTAAAGGATGTTGTTTCTGAGGACCCTGAAACGTAACAGAGACACTGTCAGACTGGAACTACTTTCCAACAGGGGCAGCAAGATCCTGGACTAGCTGAATTTTTTCTGGCTTTTTTAGAGTACAAAAAGTTTTTACTTTAAAGTTAATGGAGATCGGAGAACTGAAACACTGCAGAGTCACCACTTGTGTTTGTGGGAGCAGAAAAGTTTGTAGTATTTTGGCAGTGTCAATAAAGACTGACATCTTTTTCTTCTCCTCAGCGATGGATGGAGACGTCGACCCAGCAGGGGGCGCTGCTGGAGCCGCAGGCCTGGCTAGAAGCTGCTGAGATCCTGCTGGAGGAGCATCGCAGCAGAATCAACCAAACCTCGTCCACTAACACTGATCTGAGTCAGCTCCTGAAATACTGCAAGGTAGGAAAGGACTTAATGATGGACAGCTACAAGTGTTCTGCCTGAGTACTTAAATGTTTTCAGCCGCCAGTGGGAGTTTTTAAGTGCATTAATTCAGGTCCTGGTAAGAGTCTGTGTACTTGCATCTGGTATCTTGTATCTGGTTTGACTGACTCTCTCTGTCTCTTTGTCTCAGGAGTGTCAGGCAGAGATGTCAGCCCATCAGGCCACACTGGACTACGTGAGCCAGCCGTTAGAGACATGCAGTACTGAGGAGGGCCAGAGGAGGCGCTACGAACACAAGCAGTTTGCAGAGGAGCAGGGTCGTCTCAACCATCAGTGGCTCAGTTTGCAGGAGAGGCTCAACTCTCAGGTCAGATACAAACATGAACATGTGACCAAACTATTCCAAATCAATGTTGACTTACTAGCTTTATCTGGAGCTTTCAGCTACATCAAATAGTCTTCATCAGGAGTATGCTCAGTTTTTATGGTGATAGATTTCTTGGCATGCAAGCTCAGCAGCAGTTATGATTTCATCCATAGCACTGTTAGGACTCCCTGTTAGAGGAAACATGTCTGACCTGCTGTTGTTGTTTGTGCTCAGATCCAGGAGGCGGAGCAGGAGCTGAGGAGCAGAGCGGAGCGGGAGGCCCGACTGCAGCACATCAACAGCTGGATCACAGATCAGAACTGCTGGATGGACTCAGCTCAGACACCCAGCAGCCACATGGAGCTGCAAAGGAGCATCAACACCTGCCAGGTCAGAGGTCACATCTGTCTCTGACATCAATCCCAACACCTGAACCACATCTGACATTTCAGGTTCAATATGTCAGTCACAAAGAGTCGTACTGCTTTTGAGAGGGTTTCAGCTCCTTGTTTCGTCTGTGTTTCAGCGTCTAGAGGAGACGATCAGGCAGAAGTCTGCAGCTCTTCTGGAGCTGAGAAACAAAGTTGATGGTGAAGGAGGAAACAGCAGCTGTGATTTCATCTCTCAGACAGATAAATCCATCCAGGCCTGTGCTGCTCTCACACAACGGGTAACAGACACTGAGGGAAAATGTAGTGAAAGTGAAATGTTTGTGTTTTAGTGTAGTTTTTGTTAGTTTATGACCGATACTTAGGGCTGTATAACTTTTATCTTTCTTGGAAGAAGCAAACACAAAAAACTAGACTAACTAATTTGATAATGTATTAGTTGATTTGAGGACATTTGCACGAAAAACAAAATCAAAATTTCGTGGTTCCAACTTCCTAAATGTGAATATTTTCTGGCGTCTTTAGTCAGTAATGACAGTAGACTAAATATATTTGGCTTGTGGACAAAACAAGACATTTGAGGACTTCATCTTTAGACATTTTCCACCATTTTGTGACATTTTATAGGCAAAACTTACTGATTCATCGAGACAATAACTGACAGCTTAATATACGATGAAAATAATGGTTAGTTGCAGCCCTAATTATTGGATCATCCTGTCTGTTCTTTAACAGTACGACGCAGTGAAAGAGAGGCTGATTGGAGCCCAGCAGCTGTGGAGCTGCGTGGAGAAGCAACTGAATCAGATGCTGCTGAAAACAGTGAGGACATCTCAGACTCTTGAGTATCACAGCAGCCCTCAGCTCTCCCTGCAGGCACACAGAGATCGCCATGAGAAGCTGCAGGTAGGATCGGTGCACCTCATATTCAAACCAGCTTGTTCTGGAGTACGGACAACAAGTTTCTGGCTCCAGTGTCAGTAAGAACATAACTCATATTCAGATCTTGTTGATATTGTACCGGTGATGACTGACTGGTGTTTGTTGTGTCGAAGCAGCTTCTTCGTGAGGAGACAGGAGCTTCAGAGGCAGAGTGGGACGAACTGAGTCAAACCGCCTCCTCCCTCAAAGACATCATCAGTCCTGCTGCCGCCGCCCTCCTCACAGAGCGGCTGGACAGACAAAGAGACAGGTGAGACAGATTGCATGCAACCACACACACACACATACAGAAACAACACACTGTCACACTCCTCAATCAATCAATCCTCCAGCTGGACTGAGGTGTCCGCAGCCTTGGACCAGCAGCTCCAGAGGAGTCGCAGCGTCCTGCAGGTGTGGGAGGTCTACGCCCAGCTGGCTGCGTCTTTCTCCCAGCGGCTGCAGACGCTGCAGAGTGACGTCAGATCAGCGCTGAGTGGAGCACCTGGAGACGATAACACTGTGGAGCAGGTTGCTGTGAAGATTTGCAGCGTTCAGGTGAGTAAGTAAATAAATACAGCAATGCAAAACTTTTCTTTTCCAACAGCTCCAGTTTATGTCCTCTAAATGAAAAGCTGCTGGAAACACAGCAATGACTCGCTAAATCACAAAATGTTTGTTGGTTCCAAACAGTGGTCTGCAGCTTGGCAGGTGTCTTCCCTAGGTGATCCACCATCCCCTTCATGTCCTGATTATAAAGTCAGCTCATATACCACGCCACGTTAGATATGTTGATAAGATACGTATGAAACGTGCAAATTAACATGTTTGTGGTTTGCAGAAATGTACCATGCCAACATTTTCTTCTGGCGACTGAGGTTGACAGACAAAGTAAAAGCAAGATACTGAGAGGGAAGTACAGAAAGCTAAATAAAAGCAAGACAAAAGTTTAAAGTAAAGTTAAGATAAGATGCAGACACCGAAATTGCAATATTAATAAATATGAAAATTAAACAAAATTAAAAGCAACAAAAGTGATACAGAGAAAAGAAAAGAAAAAGATGACATTACATAACAGGAACCCTATAAAGATGGGTTTTAAGAAGTGATGAGCTGACTCTGTGAGCCTTACCTCCTCAGGCAGGTTGTTCTGAAGCCGAGGGACGCTGATGGTTAAAGCACAGTCACCTTTAGATTCAAGCCTCGACTGTGGAGCAGCTAGAAGAGCCTCACCTGAGGATCGAAGGCTGTATCTGCCTCATAAAGGGTCAACATTTTTTGCTCTGTAGCTCGGGGCCAGACCCGAAGGAGATTTAAAAGCAGTAGTTGGTCAGTTGTATGAAGAATAACTTTTTGTCATATCTGCTGAAATTGTCTCTGTATTCACACAGCACTAAATGAGACTGATAATATGTGGAAAAATATTCCTCTGCCTACTCTATTGCCTTGTAGCAATCCTAAGGGCCTTACCAGTCAGAGGCAAGGAGTCTCTAACACAGCTGTCAATCATGTCAATCACTGCTTATGAACTGTGGTCAAACTGTCAAACTAGGCAGCACTGATCAAAAATGAATCACGATTCTGTTACTGCATTGCCTATTTCTCACCTCAGATATTTTCAGAAACATTTTCTACCCTTTTTTCCACCAAAATTAGGGCGCGTTTGTTGGTTTCTTCAGTGTGGGAACACCCTTTAAAAACAGGTGATGGACTTTTTTCCCATTGCCCGTAGACCAGAGCCGTGCACACAGCTCAATTTTACACAGTTTTGAACAATTTTTGAGCACTTGGACAGAGACAGATAGTATTTTGTGCCAGTATGACATTGCGTTACACCATCAAAGGGGCTAAAATTAGCGTGTTGTATTGTATTTCCATTACTGCCCATCTGAGCCAATCAGAGCTGGAGTTGATAAATACCTGTATGTCTTGGGAATTAATGCAAATTGTAAGCTTTTGCATTAAATACAAAAGCCTGATGTTAGTGGGTGTTAATGGGTTTTTTGTCCAGTGGGGAAAGGGGCTTTAGTGTACTGTTTAGCTATAAAATGAGAAGCTAAGTCCAGCAGGTGGGCAGCTAAACAGCTAAACAGTAAAATATGTTTCTGAAAACATTTGAGGTGAGAAATGGGCCATGCAGTAACATAATCTTGATTCATATTTAATCAGCGCTGCCTAGTTTGACAAACTCACCAGCTGTGACATGACTGACAGCTGCGTTAGAGACTCCTCAGCCCTGACTGGTTATTGGTGACACGGTGTTTCTAGCAAATGCCATTAAAGGCAACAGGAAGTGGAGTATCTGTCACATGTACTTCTTTTATAATATAATGACAGTTTCAGCAAATATGACACACAACTTTTCATAAAAGTTACCAACTGTACCTTTTAAAAATGATCTGTAAAATTTAAAATAAATACTCAAATAAACAGAGAGATGATGGAGAAAAAGCAGGATTGGGGTGATGTGAAGTCGTCTGTTAAAACCAGTAGAAAGCCTGCCTGCTGCATTCTGAATTTACTGCTTCAGCTGGCAAAGATTGAATTAATACGCAAAACCAGACCTTACAGTTGCAGAACAATCAAACTGCTCACTATAACACTATAGAAACTCTCCAGTCCTCATGTTTCTTCACTTAAACCTGTGTCCCTGTTTGTCCACCTCTGCTCCAGAGTCTCCTGCAGAGGACGGACACTCTGCAGTCCGACCTGGAGGGGGTGCTGGGGGCCTCCAAGGACGTAATTAGCAACCTGGAGCCTTCAGCTGCCATACTGGTCCAATCAGAGAGCCGGTTGTTGTCACGTGGTGTTCAGCAGCTCAGCCAGACGGTGACGTGGAAGCTGGGTCAGCTGCAGGTACGACTTCATGAATGAATGAGGCTATTTATGGGATTCAGCAAAGTCAGAGTCAGAGCAAAGTGCTCACAGTGATACATGAAGACATGAGATATCTGACCTGAGGACAGTGTTAATCGTAACCTCATGCAGTTTTTTGCTTTATTATTATTTATTGATCATCCAAAAGGATTTATTAACATTATTAATTATTCTTTAATTGATTAGAAAGTATAAGGTCGACATATTTTAGGACTGTGACACAGGCATGTTTTCATAGTGCTGCCTTACCTGTGCATTTGTGTCCTAACCTGCCACCTGTGTGCACTAAGTGTCACACTGACCTACAAATTAAGACACAGATGGTCGTGAGTCATGTGCCATGTTTGCGTGTAGGAGGAGCTCGAGCGGCTGCAGGAGTTTGGAAACGCCCTGGAGTCACTGGAGAGGAACCTGGAGCTTTGGCAGGAGCGTCTGCGCGATGTGGGCTGGACAGCAGACCAGGTGAGACGGCATGAATGGAAGTTTATGAATGACTGTAGTGCTGCTTCTTATTCTTTTATACTTAAAGCCACAAGAACAAGATATTCACACGTCTGGACTGTTATTGTTTTAGATATATTGGAAAGCTGGAAATGTTTTCTCTGTATGAATCAGGTTGTTTTAAGATTTTTCATGTCATAATTTTTCATGAATTTAATCGTTCCAGTGTTTTTTTTTTATCAGAATACAAAATAATTATTTCTTTAAAATTAGTCCAAACAATCTCACCACAGAGTCTGTTTTGTAGCTGCTTGTTTTAAATGTACATTGTACATTTAATTTCAGTGAAATGCACCTCCCTGCTCTCTGAGCACGTAATACTATATGTAAATAAGAGTAAATACAAGCCACCAATAATAAGGACCCTCACAGCACTTATAGATGTATAAAGTGCTAGATATGTGTCCTGTGACCGACAACACTGAGTTATTTAAAGCACTTCCTGTTCAGTAATCTAACCACCTGGGGATAAAAACTGTCTGAGGGGGCTGGTCTGAGCTCTGATGCTGTGAAGAAGTTTACCTCAGGGAAGGAATGAGAGAAGGCGATGTGCTGGGTGGCGGGTGTTTTCTACAACATTCAAGCCCCGTTTCCACCAAACACTTTCAGTATGGTACCTTTGGATCCAACAGTAACCCTTCAGACATGGTACCTAGACCCTAGTGTTTCCACCACAAGCAGTACTCTTAAATGTGGGCGGGGTTGTTGTCACTCACTCGTTGTATTTCCTCATTATCGGTACGCAGATGAAATTCTGCACCTGGTTTATCGTCCACAGAACGAGGCTGCACGCCGACATTTTCAGAACAAAATAGAACAGGCTGCAGTGAGAGTCTCTCTCCGTGGGATATTTAAAAATAGCAGCTTTGTGCATTTAGTTCTTCTCAGGCAAGCTCAGGGGTTTAGTGTGGCTGTAGCCCACAGGAACAACGCTCCGCAATGCTTTTTTTTCCTCAAGGATTGGGATATACACAGTTTACATAATGCAGTCGAAATTAATATATATTTTTAAACGCTTGCAGATCCACTCATTACTAAAAGTGTCTGTCATCTAAGAGAGACAATAAAAACTAAAGTGATAGTCAGAGTTGTCACAGTGAAATTTAAGGTGTGCTGATGGATTCACATCATCAACTCATGCATTGAGTAACATTACAAGTTAACGTTCCACCTTAAAAGCTGCCGGCAGTCGGCCCAGTGAATGAAGTTATTTTTTCTCAGACTCCAGCTGCTGTGAGAGGCAGCAAAACATCCTTTCATTTTATAGTTACAGTTTACTAATAAAACTCTCCACAGTATGAACAGTGGTTATATGAGCCTCAAAACCAGACACAACTCAGCCCTGAGCAGAGTGACCGTCCTCTACTGACCAATCAGACTGCAGTGTTCACAGCTCCACCTTTTAGTACCACATCTGTGTGCTAGGTACCCCAACAGAGGGGGGACCAAACATGGGGACGGTACAGAACGGTTCCATTGCTACCATCCCCAACTTTTCACAGTGGAAATGGAAAAAATGCGAACTGAACTGTTCCGTACTGCTCGGTGGAAACGGGGCTTATGGGTCTTTCTCCTGCAGCGGGAGGTGTAAGTGTCACTGACGCTACTTTAAACCCAAACTCTGATTTAGTAGTTTGACAAACTGAAGAACAAAAGAGTTCCTCAGCCTGTTGAGTCGAGCCTGTGGGACTCTGAATCTTCTGTGTGCTGAAAACAGCTGATATACTTCATATAAAATGTGAGAGTTTGATGTAATATTACCAGCCAGAGACAACATTATTTAAGTTTGGGAATGTGACCCAAGTGTTTGACCCACAGTCTTTGAGCAGATCTGTAGTGGTCTAGCTTTAAGCTGAACGGAGAGTCAACTGAACCATGTAGAGCTGGCACCATATCAGATTTTCACTACATGATTTTCGTGGCCAAGGAGTTCACGATAATGATATTATGGTGATATTTGTAGGGGGGAAAAATGCTGTCAATCAAATCTTTGTTCATTGTGCATTTTGTGTCATTTACGGAGGCAGGGAGAGACTATGTGACTATGACTGTAAAAAAATATACAAAAAGAGCAAGTACACTTAATAAATAGTGGAAAGGCAACCAGGTGGCATTGTGAGAAGACAGAGTGAGAACAGAAAGATGATTTAAGAGACACTGAATTACTTACAGCAGTGGTTCCCAACTGTTGGTCGCAGTCCAAAATTGAGTAGCGGGTCCATTCTTTATGGTCCAGAATGTGTGAAGTTTGTAAAAAACACATTTTATTTTGAAGTACAATGAATTTCCAGCACAGAGCTTTTATTTTGAAATGCTGGATGCTGCTTTAAAATAAGTGAATGATGAAAAGCTACTTAACAGAGACAAAAACTAGCTTGGCGACATGGCCAAATTAAAGGATAACACTGAATATGTTAAACTGTGCAGACCTTGAACTAATGACTAAGGAGAAGTCTGGACCCCGTGGCTGGGTGAGCTGGGAACCACTGACTTACACAATATTATCATATGTGTATTATTAACCTGATGTCAATATTACAGTTGTCGCCACTATCAGCATATCACAACTCCCTAGTGCCATGCACAGATCCCATACTGCCTAACACTCTGGGAAATATACTAGGATCTGTTTGTTTGCTCCAGATGACCTCGGCTTCCTGAAAAAATAAATGTGATGTTGTACCTGCTACAGATACAATCTATATATACACTCCAAAACCAAAAATTTGGACTTATTCTGGAGCTTTTGAATTGTTCATATTCCATTAGTAAGCACTTTAAAGATTTGTCATCTGTGTTGGTGTCAAAAGCTTCAGACCAGCTACTAAATGGACCTTGTGGTGAGATTTTTTGACAATTGCTGTTTCCCCTTTTGTGCAGAGTTTGCATGTTCTCCCCATGTCAGCGTGGGTTTCCTCCAGGTACTCCAGCTTCCTCCCACAGTCCAAAGACGTGCAGGTTGTCTGTCTCTATGTGTCAGCCCTGTGATAGTCTGGTGACCTGTCCAGGGTGAACCCCGCCTCTCACCCAGTGTGAGCTGGGATAGGCTCCAGCCCCCCGCAGCCTCCAACAAAAATGAATGAATGACGTTTTAGAGGTCAAGACTGAATTTTAAATCTCAGTTGCCTTTAAAAGTTTTATTTGTATTTATCACAGATTGAAACAATCACGCCCAGCTGACAGCTTTTAAAGGTTTATTTGAAAAAAGAAAGACTTACTCAGTAATCAAGCCAAAGATGTGTAAATTTATTTGCAGAATGAATGTTAAATTTTGGTTTTAATGGAAGGGGACGACTTAAGTCAATAATCAGGGGTTTGTCTGCACCTGAGAGGAGAAATTTCAGTCACTAGAAAACTCAGTGTAAGAGAAAATGGAAACAGAGGAACGAAGACCGTGTGAGAAGCGTGTAGTGCTCCTCGGCTGTGATGTCACACATGCAGTAGTCCAGACTGTTGTGATCCCCTGTGATCTGAGGTGCCACCATATGTTTCCAGTCTGGCCTCCTGGAGCTGAGCGGCCTGTCTGCTGACCTGGATGTGCTGAATGAGCAGAGCCGCAGCGTGACGCTAGGTGACGCTGCAGCACGCCGCCTACAACGTCTCAACCGCTGCTGGGCCGACGCGTCCGCCAGAGCTGAGGAGGCCTGCAGGTCAGATCCTTTGTTTTTCAAGTGTATTTTTTGGCACTTTGAGCACCAAAAGCTGTTTTGTACTCCACTAAGACACCCAGGTGGAAAAAAAACATAGTTGTCATGCTAAAAAGAAAATGCAGAAGTGGTAAATGTGTAAAAACTCACAGAACTCAGTGAAATTGTACAAAATTAAACATTTGAAGCCAGTTTTTTTTTTTTTTTTACCCAGAAAGCCATTTAAGTAGGCATTGAAGTAGGAATTCATGGTTCAACTCGAGGTGTTCAGGGTGCTCCTGCAAAAACACAATACACATGAAGCAGAAAAATGGGATGCACTCAGTAATGCACTCTCATTGACAACCAATACAAGATTGGGGCGTAAATATGCATGAAATAAAATGTACTTTTCTTTCTTAGATTACAGATAAAGTGTCTCTAATGGTGTTTTTTGCTTTTCGTGGTGCAGTGAGCTGCAGACGGAGGCTCTGAGGTGGCAAAGCTTTGAGCGCAAGTGTGAGAGCTGGATGTCTTTCCTACAGAGGATGGAGGACAGCCTGGCTGTAGATGTGGCCGGCTCTTACATCGGCCTTAGACAGCAACTCTGTACACACAAGGTATCATACATGATTAACAGACTCACTCATAGATTTATCAAAAACACACAGAGATATAATCCTGATCTCTCCTGATGTTTCAGCGGTTTCAGGCAGAGCTGTCCACTGGTCACCAGATCCTTCACTCAGTCATCACTGAGGCTCTCCAACTGCTGCAGAAAGGAGAGGTGGAGGACAGGTGAGAAAATCTTACAGTAAAATACATGTATGATATGGGAAGGGAAAAAGTTTAGACCTTTGTGACTGTGTTGCTGTATCCAGGAGTGACTTCATCCTGAAGCTTGCCCAGCTCAGGGAGCACTGGCAGGGGGCGGTGCAGCGGGCCGACCAGCGGCGCTCCCTGGTGGAGGGGCTGGTGAAGCAGTGGCACCTGTACAGCCGCAGCCTGAGGAAGCTGCAGAGGTTCCTGTCAGAGACACAGACACTCCTTCCTCCCACCACACCTGCCCACTGCAGCGTGCAGCAGCTACGACACTCGCTCCAGGACCTTCAGGTGAGACGGACGGCTGCCGGCCTGGAATATCTGGAGATTTAGATTAAATACCAGGGAGTAAAAATATGGAATTTTTCCAAATTTTGTTTCGAAGTTAAAGGATGAATGAAGTCACTTAACAGGGTTGTAAAAATGTGACTTACTGACAAATCCTTATTCCATCAGATGAAAGATTTTAGCCTGACACCGAAAAACACACCAAGCAGCGGCGAATTGCCATGCAGTGTCTATTGATGGAGATACACTGGGTCTGTTGACGTTCATATCAACGTATCATATTCTCTTTCTATGGAGAGCAGGAGATCCAGCCACATGTTGCATATTGGATACAACATGGCGAGTTGACTGATCATTTCCCATGTCTGAATTTGCATAACTCAACTTTTGCAAATAAGATCCATCCATTGCAACACAAAACTCAGATCAAACTGTTAAACTAGGCAGCACTGATTAAAGATGAATCAAGATTCTGTTACTACATTGCCGATTTCTCACCTCAGATGTTTTCAGAAACAGATTTTAGTGTACTGTTCAGCTGTAACATGCTGTGTGTCCCAAAACCCATACTACCATACTATTTAGTGTGTCAGAAAAAGATTTGGTACGTCCCAATACATAGTATGTCAAATGCAGTATGCCAAAGATACCCGGATGTTCTACTACATTGAGGCCGATTTTGCAGTCTGCAAGCCAGCATGCTTTTCTGGCTATTCTGACCCATAATCCTCTGCGCAGCTGAAGATCAGCTGTCAGAAGCTGCAATGCTAGACGACAACGCATTCAGGTTACTGATGACCAGTTGATTTGTAATAATAGGAATATAAAGTAATCAGAAATATAACCAGCAATAAAAGGACAAGAGTATTAAATAACAGTGACAGAGAAATGTGCAGGCTCTGTAATTTTACGATTGTGAATATGTTAGAATCTACAGTGTATGCAGTTATAACATACTGCAAAATAACAACAGCAGAGCTGTGAATTGCATTTTGTTATATCTCCATGGTAACAGATATACTAGTAAGAAGGTCAAAGTTCAGGGCATAATGTTATGGGGAAGTAGTATGTCCCAGTTGTGTGCAGACTGCATACAAAAGTGCGCACTTTTTAATAGGGGTGACCCCGAATAGTCGATGATTCAGTGATTCGATTTGGAGAAGTCTGATTCGACTGCCAGTCTGGCCGACGAATCGTCGCAAAATGTGGTTATGAAACAAGACCGTACCATTCTGACTAGGCTATATGGGGGTGCTCACTGCTGCTGAACATCTTGATTTGACATAGAATGTTTTTGTTTTCTAGTAATTCATGATATATAGCCTATTTTGATACAAACATCAGCCTAATTTCTGTTAATAAAAAATTGAAAATGACGCGTGCGTTTAATCAGTAGGCATAATCATTATTACGCATGAATAAATCACCCAGTTGCTTGATCCAAATAAGCTGAGGTGAGTGAGTGCACTGCAGGACCATCAGAGCAGCATCGAGGCCTAGGGTGATTTAAAGTTAAAGTCCCACTGATTGTCGCACACCTGAGTGTGTGTAATTTGTTCTCCGCATCTGACCCATCCCCTGAGGGAGCAGTGAGCAGCAGTGGTGCTGCGCTCGGGAATCATGTAGTGATGATTTACGGTGGAGGAGGTATGTGCTCTCAAATCAAACTTTTTTGAAGGATTATTTGTTTACCTGAAGTGTCTTGAAATGAATTTCACCGCTGATTGTTTTCTTGATAGACTCTGATTTTTTATTTGGCTACTTTTTGTCCGACATGGCCAAACAATTGAGAGTGGTGACGCACTGTCCGTGTGGATGAACTTTTATGAACCTGAGTTGATTAATGAAGTAACTTGAAGTCAGAAAGAAGGAAAACTGTTTCTAAACCTTTTGATGATTTTTTTGGATGTTTATTTGTGAATGAAATGGCAAGTTCTGACGGGTCAGAAACGACTCCTGTTAAAGACATGGATGAGGCTACAGCGCGTCTGCTCATCTAGAGTATCATACCTTGATGAAGTGAAAGGAATAAAGATAAAGATAAAATGATAACCCTTTTACTTTTATTATTATTATCTTATTATGCCAACTGAAGAATTAAATTTGTTTATTTGGGTGTTTTAGCTCTTTTCTCTGGAGCGGAAACTGACGCAAATGAGCTCATTAATCAATGAGGGGGAAACAACATGATTTGACGATTAGTCGGCTAAAGGAAAAATCTGTCAAATCAGATTCGACTATGAAAATTCTTAGCCGAGGACACCCCTACTTTTTAAGGACAGCTGCAATACCTAATAAAAGTAAAACTGAAAAAGTATGCAATTTGGAACGCACCCATGACAAGGTTTGTGACCCAGCCGCCATCTTGAAAACAGCCTGGCCAAAACCAAGCACCGCCCACCAGCTTAAGCAAGCGAGACCATCAGGGCGTCGGGCAGGTCTTGCATGTGGTGTATCTCCATGTTATGGAAAGCTGCAGCGGCTGCTCCGAGCTCAGCGAGCTGCAGCCATCCGATTGTGCAGCAAAGTGCAGCCAATCTAAAAGCTGGCGATATTGTGGTTAGAGAATACCCACAGCCAATTGGTAAACAGAGTCCTGTGACTCCTGATATGTTGACCTATGTTACAAATCATTTCTTCCCACGTGAAACACATGAACAAATCTCCCAGCTGCAGAGAAATACAATTATTGAAGCAGGCCGCACCTCTCTGCTTCTTGGTGTGTTTGTGACGTGACTGTGGTGGTAATGACGTCACATTACATTACTGTCTTCAATACATTTCATGTTTCTGAGTGAAATGTTTTTCTGAGTTAACTACAAGTACAGTGCTTGACCAAAGGTTAGTTTCCACCTCTTTCCCTAAAACTACTTTGTGGATTTTTCAGACCCTTCAGAAACAACCAAACTGATTTATGTGCATTGTCATAACTGTAAAAGACGCCTGCAGAGAGTTGATGGTCTGTAGAGTGGTTTTTAATCCAGATAAAGATCTGGTTGAAACAAACAGGAGAGAAAACATCTGTCTGAGGACTGATGTGGGAAAAAGAAACGACCGCTGCTGATTACATTTACATCAAAAGAGACGAGGAAGACACTTTCCATTCTGATTCTTTTTGAGTCTCTGATTACTATGAAAAGAGGAGATGAGATTTGAATTGATTGTCAGTGAAGATACAGCAGCCCTTCATTAAAAAGATCACAGATTATTGTTTAGCTCTCTGTCTCTCCTCCCCTCTCCTTTTTTTAAAACCATCTTTAACCTTTCTCGTCCTCCGTCCTGCTCCTCAGCACACAGAGCTGTTGTTCCAGAGGTACCAGTGCAGCTTCATCCACACTCTGGAGGTCGGCCGGCAGCTCTTCTCCATGGGGGACGAGGAGACCCAGACTCAGCTGCAGACGGATTTGGGAAGCCTGCAGGAGGAGTGGGACAACCTGCAAAGCCTGCTGGGCCGGAGGATGGACCTCACCGAGGCGATCGTCAAGGTACTCAGTCACTTTGTGTCCAGTTGTTGCGTCTCACTGTGGTTTAGCTGTGGATGAAGTGATGCTTTCAGGAACATCTTGGATGTGTGTTCAAGTGCAAGACAGTTTGGATCTCAGTGGCATTACTCTAGTATGTTGCATGTGGTTTGTATCAGCTCCACGGCTGTTGTTTTTGTTTGCTGCCTTTTTTGGTCTTAGCTATTAATGTGGCTTGACTTGGTTTAACTGACCTTATTTGGATCTGATCTGGACTCAAACCCAAGGTTCTGCTCCTGGACTGGGCCTAAAATGGATCAGTTATAAGTGGTCTGTTCTCAGGGCAGAAAGAAATGCATCTGGTGGTGCAAGACAAATGTCAAACATTCTCTGTTTACATTCTCATAGATGTGACGTCGCTGCTTTTCCTGCTTCATATTGTTGTAAATTAAATATTTTTTGGGGTCTTGTACTGTTGGTTGGACAAGACAAGCTATGTTAAGACATCTTTTGGCCTCTGGGCAGTGCTGATCGCCTTTTTATGCACCATATCATAATGTTTGTTGACAGTTGTGATTGCTGAGCAAATGCTACCTCAGTAAGTAAGGTGTAAGCTACCTAAAAATGCCAACCAAAAACTCCACATTAGTTAAAGTGTACGCTATATTTAGAATATTTTTGCTGCTTGCTCCTTCCAACTGGGGGCTGAAGCCATTACCTCAAAGGCAATAATTTTACTGGTTGCTGGTCTACCGCTGCCTCCATCAATTAGTGTGTAAGGTAGAGCAAAGAAAACATTTCAAATATAAGCTACAATTGAACTGATTTTGATTTTTTTTTTAGCGGCTAAAATACATTTTGCTGCAGCCCTGTGCACAGCAGTGCATTCTTTAGCTTCCGTGCAAGTAGATTTGGTTTGTCAACAACATTAGTAAAGCAAGTACAAAAAATAAGCACAGCAGAACCATTAGAGAGCGGACCAGCGTGTTTAACTATTTATCTGTAAACGTTACAGTTACAGCTGAAAATGACGACAGAAATAAACAAGTTTACTGATTTCTTAATCTCAGCAATTGACATAAATTTCCACTTGTCTACCTGCACGTGATTGTTGTTGTTGGCGCGATGTCATGGTGATTTGGTCTATTGAATTTTTGCAGTTACAAACTGCTGTAATTGATGTTGTGGTTCTCAGATTTTCTTAACTATATATTTTATCTTATTTGCAATATTAATTAAGTCATGCCTAAGGAGGGAACGTGTTTGAATCGTGAGTTCTGTCCCAACATTACACAAACATTTTCAAAAATTGTCCCTAACTATGCTCAGTTAATTATCTTCAACAAATACATATCTGTGGTTTTTGTAAGTTTAAAAACAGAGAGCAGAGAAAAAGAGAAATCTGACAGTAATGAACATGTGCAGAAATGTGATCTTGGTACAGATCTCTTTAAATATGACCTAAATATGACCTTTTTATCGCTGGATGACTCTTTTTTCTTGGAGGTTCAGCTGCATGAAACCAAGTCAGTGGCCTCTAGTCAGTTCAATGGGAGAGTCAGATTCCACTGGATATACAGAATCAATGCAGTTTAGAAACATGATCTGTTGAGTGGACGCATCCATCAGCTAGAGTGCTGCACTGTTGGTCTCCTGAGACGTTACATCATCCTCTTACTCTTAAATTCTGTCAGATATTTATTCAAATTTTATTGCATTTCTATTTCCTTAACTAAAGATGAAATGTGATCAACTATTTGTGACCGCATTCCTCTAATTCTGTCAGATTTCCATTTGAATTGCGCAAGTAACAACGTGGCAGGTATTCTCTTAAGGCAGGGGGTCTGGATTTTTATTTGCACGTACAGCAAAATACAAGATACAAGAGCAGGTACGAGTCACAGCAACATTTTTACAGGCCATAAAGATATTCAAATAGTTCCACTGCAGCCCACAGTTTCCAAAGTGTGTGGTTATATTGTGGACCTGTGAAATGTGGCATGTTGCAGGAAGGTATACCCTAAAATAAGAAGTAACAGGAAAGAACATTACAACATAAACAGTCGTCTTGTGGTTTTATAAATCTGCCGCCTTCTCAGTGTCTCTGGATCAGCTGCAGGTCGCTGTGATACACAAGTCTGATGCAAGAGTTAAGTTTCTGTTTATTTATACCCGGACAAACACCTGTCCTCTCTGACTGTAGAGACACACATGAGTCCTCCATCTGTCCCCTGCAGCCTCTGATGGTTTCTGTTTGCCTGAGAGCAGCCAAGTTAATCCAATCTGCTCTAATTAATGACTGTGGACATGTTTAGGAAGTCAAAGACAAAAGAGTGTAACGGCTCTCTGGTCGTTCTCAAAGCCAATCAGCTGTGTAAGAACTCTGACCATTGATCTGTTTGATCAGCGAGTTTGTTTTTGTTTTGTCTCAGAACTGGGAGCGCTGCGAGGCCGGACTGGCTGACAGCATGCTGCAGCTGAAGGACGTGAAGACGAGACTGAACCAGTCGATGCCGGAGTTTGACGATGAGCTGCAGAGCACCGAGAAATATTACAAGGTGCACACAGCTGGTCACACAAACACAACTCAGCACAAAATATCACACATCACTGAAATAGATTTAGAATTTCTCTGTCCACTAGCAGAGTTTTATTTACATGAAACATTCTGTGGAGATCCACTGTGGAGGCAGCAGTAATCTCATTGGCTCAGTTAAACCTGTGAGGGCGTGAATGTGCGTGACTGATGTTTTCTCCAGATACTATAATTTTCTACAGTTTGAAATTAAGTTTAAAAATAAGCCTAAAAATGAATAAGGCAGAGTCAAAGCGACAAAGCAGCAGCCGGGAGTTGGCAGAAACTGTGGCAGGAAATCCTGAGAAGCATCCAGAAAAAGTTTTTGAAGCGGATGCACCACATAAAAAAGAAATGTTCAGTGGAAGGATTGATGAAATGAAAAAAATTGAATGAACTGTACTGTACTGCTCGGTGGAAACAGGGCTGAAGAGAGCTCTCCTGGGGGGCGGAGGAAATGCATCAAACTTACCTGTAGGCATATGTTGCGAGCACACATTGACAGTGTTTGTGTAGCCACACAGAAGGGGAGACAAAACCACCACAGTCCAGCTTTAAGAGTTATTTACATTTTACATTTCCACTAGATTTACCTGGATTTTCTGAAATAATCAAATAATTTAAAACCAATTTGAACCCAGAACCCTCAAATAGAAATATACACTAAAATGTTGAACTATTCCTTTAATGTTGTGGGTGTATACTCTGTTATGCATTGTTCCAGGATTATTTTCATAACAGAGAAATCTTTTTGAAATGAACACAATGACTAAAAAGAGTCTGATCTTTCGACACATATATGACATGCTCCCATTCATGTAACTTTTCATATCATTAGCAGTCTGTGTCTACACTGTGTCTTGCAGGCAAAACAGTTGTTTGTAAAAGGTTTATAGTAAAAACAAACAAAGTAAGCCTCCTTTTAAGATCTAGACATTTAGTGTAAGGACGTCAGGAAACAGTGGAAGACCTAAAACACAGTGTGAGTGTGGCAGGAAACAGTCACTTAGAGTTCCAAAAGAGCAAAGCCAAGTTTGAAACAGGTTTGACTCAACTCATCCTCTCTGACCTATCATCCTCCACCCCTCCCTCAGTCCCCTCCCCCTCCACACTCACCCCTCCCCCAGTCGGCCCACAGCCTGTGGCCCTTAATCCTCTCTGGGCGGAGAGACAGAGAGAAAAGAGTGACAGAGAGAGAAAGAGAAAGGGGCTGGACACAGAGGGACATTAGGGAGTAGCTGTGAGAGAGCGCGAGCTGTTGGAGGGGGTCCCTGACGGTTCTGTTGTGGCTGTCGGTGTGTTATGGTATGCAGGAGAACGAGGACTCCCTGGAGGACTGGGCTGAGAGCCTGACGGAGCTGAGCACCATGAAGACGGATCTGTCCCAGTACATCATCGCAGACGATGTCCTACTGCTGCAGGAGCAGGTGGAGCACCTGCACTGTCAGTGGGAGGAACTCTGCCTCAAGGTTAGTGTGATGGGTGTGATGCTCTCAGCTCCTGCTGCCTGAAGATAAAACCAGATGGGACTCATGTGTGGTGAAGTTTTCACCTGTCAGAATGAGCTGCTTCTGCTCTTTATCTGCTTTTATTTCTTATATTTAGTTCAATGGCAAAACATGACAAAGTAAATTACCAAGTTCTTTAACATCTTTGCTTAAATTTTCTACTTTAAGTGTTTTATCTAGCTTAAATGCAGTTGAATTATCCAGGAAAGTAATTTTAACACATTGGCGGTGCAGAAATTCATATAAAGTGCACGGTAAGAGTGAATAACACTGGTCATTCAACTTCTTTCTCACTTGGCGACCCATTTTTAACACCTTAACATATGGTTTCCTTTGATATTATGTATTTTAAGGGTTTGGAAAATGATGATATTCCACAGTATCTCATAGTATCGTGTCGTATATTCTTTATTAGCTTGCTTCAGCTCTTAATCAAAGCTGTTTTATGTTTACGATAAGTACAGTATTCAACCTAAGACTTTTATTACTGCTCCAGTCATGTCGATGTCTCATCGTTTTATACACAGTTGCCCAAATTCAGCTCAGTATGTTTTGGTGTCACTGGAAACTTTGGGATCTTTATTAAAATTTGAAATATCTTCCTGTGTTGTGGAACAAAGTTTGGCTGCACAGCATGAGGTGACTGGACAGATTGGAAAGTATGTGTTTTAAGTGATATGTGTAATTTGTTCTACATCAAATGAAGTTAAATCACCAAGGGTAGTAATTTCAAAGTATTACTGGTGCAAATACCGGTTGTTTTTGGAAAGCTATGGCTCCTTATTAATCATGACCTGAGAACAGAAAGAGTTCATATAAAGTTAAAAAATTAGGCTGCACAACCAGACACCTTGTCGTCAAACTTTTTGCTTGTCTGGATCCACCATAGACTCTGTTTGAAAACTATATAGGACTGCAGGTTGTGGAAGGTTTGTCAATGAGGAGTTAACACGTGTAACCAGCTCAGCCCAAACAGTGACTCACTCTGTTTTCTTAGTGAACGTGTGTGTGTGTGTTTTGGACAGCAGCAGGTCAGGTGAGATAGTTTAGCTCATCAAACTGCTCCAGGACGAGCAGACAGCGAGGGAAAGTTGGTGCGGCGACTAAAAGGCGCAAAGCAGAACTTTTCTTTATGAAATCAAAGTTAGTTTTTACTGAGAGCAGACATGTTCCTGACAGCTCTCAGAGCTACAGTGTATACGCCACACTGAGTTTCAACAGAGTTCACGGTTTCTTTGTTTTCCAGTCATCAGTGTTAAAGTCAAAGCCTTTAATGAGGTGTTAGTTAGTAAATCTTGTGAGTCTTTTTAGGGCGACTGAAGAGACCAACAGGTCTGGGTGGGGGGGTTGAGAGGGGATGAGGGGCATTGTGGGGAACAGATGGTGACAGGAGAGAAATGTTGTAATGAGCTGAGAGGCTTCAAGAAGAGGAGCTTGTGTATTGAAATGAGTTTGGGGGATGGGGAGTCGTCGTGATCATACTGACTTTCACTTTTTACTGTCTGTGTGTTTGCATTTGACTTAGTCTTTGTTTGTGTATTTGCACCTACAGCCCTGTTTGGGGCTGTCTCATCCACATCAGGCCTAATATTTAAGTGTCTGTGTGCTGCTTTACAGGGAAGGTAGAAAAGTCACCCAGATATATTTCTGTGAGAGTTTGAAGCCTGTTTTAAAGTACTCCAAGCATAAAAACCCCATGGTTTCAAAGTTGTTGTTGGAATTCAAAGTCTTCTTCATCTCATTTTTTTGTGCCAAGCAGTAATGATCTCAGTGCTGCCCCCTGTGTTTAATAATGGAAAACATTCACCCACATCAGTGATCTTCAGTTTTGCCTTCATTCAACATTGGGGTAGCAGTGAGCTCATTTTGGCATGGCTCAACAAGCACAGGACTTTGACTCAGGAGACTGGTGTTTGTGTCCCGTGTGAAACTAAAGCCCTTTTTAGACAGGAATTGTGCAAATTTGCAGGAAAGCCCAATCAGCCTTCTTTCAGCATTGGCAGTATAAAAACGAAATCGGGGGGTGCAGCAAAATGCCACCTACCTACTTTTGTTTATACAGAATGTGCCTTTTTCAGAGCAATGGGGGGCGTGAGCAAGTAATAAAACGTGTAGCTCAGCGTGTGATGTAAACAGTGACGTGGGAGGGAAGCTGCGGCTAGTCAGGTGGTGATTCTCTCAAAAGTCGGCCCGTCCTTCACCGTCCCCGTCATCTGACGGTTAATGGCCTCTTCGTTTGCGAGGACAAGGAGGGCGCGCAATTCCTTGTCTCCCCAGTTGCTCATCTTCACAGTATCTGTCAGGTTTGCGTTTCCCTCTTGCTACTAGCTGCTTGCTAATTCCTGCTATCAGCTGTTTCCTGTTTATCCACCGCCAGTGGCTCGCACGTGCGGCGTCATCAACAGCTCCTCCCACAAGTCATCACCAGCACCTACCATTATGGAAGGCTGCCTCCGTCTGTTTAAACTTAAAGGGTTCCGCCAATATGACTACCCTACGAGGCGGAAAATTGGGCGCCTCGGATCAACTCGCCAATCCAGCTCTGTGTGTCTAAACGCTTGCAGCTGGCCGCCAAATCGGCCCAACATTCACAGAAAATCTGGCAGTGTAAAAGGGGCTTTAAAGTCATTGTCAAGTTATTTTGTCACGAGTCTTTAGTTAACCTTGATCTTTTCCAAACCATAACCAAGTAAGTTTTGTTGCCAAAACCTAATCGCTGACCCCTTCCAAGTAATATAACTTACATCCAACCCCCTCTGCATCAAGATCTGCCGTCCCCTTCTATGTCAAGATTCAACACAAAAGGCCCTGCTGTCATTATAATAATGCCAGAGGTTTCTGCCCAAGCATCGGAATATGGCGAGTAGGGATTAAATCAGGTTGCATGCCTGGAAAGAAAACAAAATATTTGTCATGTTGTGGAACAGTGTCTGAAACACGCTCCCTGACATCTCTCAAGTGTTGGAAACGGGGGGCTTTCAGTGTCTGTAACTTTCTGAAACATTCAGTTCAACGGACAAACTAACTTTACCCTGTGATTGCCCAGGTGTGTGTGGAGGTGTGAAAGTAAGCAGGGTTCAGACCTTTTCTTTCAAGCTCTAGTCCTTCATTCTTCATACAATTACTTGCGTCCCTTTTCCTTTACAACCAACTGCAACACTGTGAACACCCTCCAGGAAAGACTGTTCAAAAATGTATGCCATTATCCCCAAATTTTAAAGATTATGGCACTTGATTTGGCTCTATTCCAGGGTGGCCTTTTGGATCAGCTATAAACACATTTGTACATGCCATCCAACTTCTCCGCCCCTCCCAACTCTGTCCACTACAGCTCAAATCAAATTAAAACGATAGTAAATTAATATGACTGGGTGCATCTGTATCAGTAACATTAAGACGCAGATTATGCATACACAGTGCGACTAAGTGTCTTAAAGTAATAAAGCTTATTTAATTTCTTCCCTCCAATCCTCTTTGTGTCAGGTGTCTCTGCGTAAACAGGAGATCGCAGATCGTCTGAATGCGTGGATCATCTTTAACGAGAAGAACAAGGAGCTGTGCGAGTGGCTGACACAGATGGAGAACAAGGTCGCGCACAACTCGGACCTCAACATCGAGGAGATGGTGGAGAAGCTCAAAAAGGTAGGAGCCTGCAGCGAAGACACTCCCATTCACACTTTCAGTAGGTACTGAGTTGCAGTGGAGTGATTGATACAGATTGGATTAATGCCATGAATTAAGGTGGATGTAAAATCATCGTTCATCAGAGCTGATGATCAAAGTTCACTGTGTGAATGAGATGTTGCTTTTCTCAGGTTATTTAAGGGTATTTGTTGTTATGAAACTGAACAGTTCTAGTGAGAGTGATATTGCTCTGTCACTGTATAAAATAAAGTTTTATTAGCAGAACATATTTGAAACAAAGTTAAGTTATGGAGCAGAACATGTGATGTTAGATTCATGTTGCTGCGTCAGCTCTGCGCTCTGCACTGGGGCACGCTGGGCCGGGTGGCAGAGGGACGGTCTGGGATTTTCAAAAAGCTGTGAATTCCCTCCTGATTGTTAAAGAGACGACAGCTGTTTGAGCCCCAGCAGGGCCACGCGGGTTTGTTTTGTGTCGAACTCACAGCCCCTTTCATTTGTCACGCTGTGCGCAGGGTGACTGGGAGGGGAGAGGAGAGCAGTAAAGGCGATTGCTGTTATAGAAACCCAAACTTATTGCCCTGGCGGGGGGTTTAAATCTTTTCAGGCTCTGGAGCTTTAAATTTAGAGTCTTTCCCTGAGTTGTGTTGCTTTCTGGCAAACTTCCAGAGTCTGAAGGTGTCATGATTTTTGCTGAATTGGGGGTAAATTAAGTTTAATTTTAGTAAAAGTGTAGTTGATCTGGTTTTAAATGAATGCCACATCTTTTTTATTTATCCTTACTTGAGCCATCATAAAGCTAACCTTGTCCTTAATGTCATACTCACAGCAGCACAGTGAAAAAAATGTACTGAATCCTGTAGAGAAGTTATGAAGTTTTTTTAGTACATATAAGCATATCATTTCATATCATTTGAAAATGATTATGTCTTCTGTGTCTCTCCGTTAGGATTGCATGGAAGAGATCAACCTGTTCAGTGAGAATAAAACCCATCTGAAGCAGCTCGGAGAACAACTCATCACAGCGAGCAACAAGACGAAAGAGACGGAGATCAACGACAAGCTGAAGGACATCAACGACCGCTGGCAGCATCTGTTTGACCACATAGAGGCCAGGTAAGAAAAGAAACGATGGTGGGAAGAAAAATGGAGGAAACCTTGGTAAACTGTGTGTCAACATTCCAAGAGCACCATGATAACAATTCTGTTTGCCGTCTATATAGGAGCTCTATCTTTATGCTGCATTCACATGCTCCTGGGATGATCCCATTTCCTGAGATGGGAAATCATTCTTCCGATTTTGCTGTGTTCATGAGCTTTTAGGTCAAACTGTGGAAACAAAATGGATGCTGTATGGCTCAGAGCGTTTAACGTCCCAGTGAAGATTCACATTACAAAGTGATTTTGTCCCAGACTTGTTTTTGCACCAGTGCGTTTTATAAAACCTCTAAAATATTGCTTTACCTGAGGTTAGCAACTTTTCTAACTAATCTCATACGCTCTACGTGGACAGCAAATAACAGTTACAAACTTAAGTACTATTTTACAAATTACATGTGGGCAAAAAAGTGATAAATGGTGCGATACGATAGATACAATAGATACAATATACTTTATTGTTCCCTGAGGGCCCATTAGTCTGGAAAATGTCCCGCTGGACTAAAAGTCCATTTTTGTCGACAGCCCGTTATCCCACAAAGAAACGCCCATTGCTCTGAAGTCTAGCTTCTCCAAAAATAAACTCCCTGCAGTTAGTTTCAGTTTCCCAATGGCGTTTGAGCCACCAATCCTAGATGTTTTTACTGACCCTTAGAGGTGTTTCCAGCGCTGTTTGAGCACCAAACTCAGGTGTTTTTACCAACCCTTTGTGCCGTTTCCCAGTAGCATTTGAGCCACTGAACCCAGGTGTTTTTACAGACCCTTAGAGGTGTTTCCCAGCAGCATTTGAGGACTTAATGTGGATGTTTTTACCAACCCTTAGCATCATTTCCCAGCAGCGTTTGACCCACAGACCTGGGAGTTTTTCTCTGACCTGTCCCTGCTTTTCCAGTGACTTTTGTGCCACTAAACATGGTGCTTTAAGCCAAAACATGTTCTTTTCCTCACCTTTACCAGGTGGATTTTGTACCTAAACCTAATTTCAAGATCAACACAGCGATTTGTTGTGTCGATTGAATCGTCCAACTGCAAGGAGTGTGCATTTTTGGAGAAACGTAACTTCACAACAATGGACGTTTGATTTGGGGATGAAGAACTGTCAGAGAAATGGGCTGTCTGACTAGTAGGACATTTTTAGGACTAACAAGGCTTTAGAACAATTGACAGTCCCCACATTTTGCACTGACTTTCCGAAGTGATGTTCCGATTTGGTGGAGACAATCACATAATTTTTCCAGTCAACTAATTTTTTCATAATATTCAGACACCACATGAATGCAACATAATCGTGTGTTATTGCACCAATCAGAGGTCTGTCATTCTGACCAGACCATTACCTTGTGATAACGACATCACCTCGCCCTCATTTGGAAAATCACGTCTCCTTTTCTTTATAACTGTGATTCATATGACTCTGTTGATCGTAAGACTTTAACAACCCCACTTGAAAACAGACTCAGTGATAACTGTGAGGAATTCTCTGCTGGTGAAGTAACTGCAGCCTTGTACTTTGGACTTTTACCAGCTTCTCTTTTATAGAGAGCACTGACGTTACCCAGTTAGCTGCGACACAGTGTGAACAACTCTGTTTTAAAGTCACACTGTAGGTGCTGCAGAATGAACAGTAAGGGGGAATTAGCATCTTTTATGAATGATGTTTTTGTCTCCTGTGACTGTCTGTTCTGTGACGTGCTTTGTTGAGAGTAGGTGTTTTGGACTGTAAGATGATCATCAGCTGCTAACAAATGCTTCTCAAATCTAAGACTCCATGTCCCATGAAACCTGTTGAATCTTTCTTTTGTTATAAGGCATCACAGACTTATTTAAAGTCCAAATTTGCTTGCTGCTGCAGTTCAACCCATGCAGCTTTATCTGTGCGTTGTTGGTTTTCACCTCTGAGAGCAGGAGCAGGCAGAGCACAGCTGTTATTCTACTGTGGCTGCAGATTAAAATGGAAAAGCTCAGAGCCAACAGAAGATAGAGTGACATTAATATTAATCCATAAATGCAAATCTCAGTCCAATACACAGATGAGTGGTGCCTGGAAGCGGGTGAAATGTTCATGCTTCAGCTTAGTGCCGCTCTACTGCTGATCTACATGGAGCAGCATTGTGCAGTGTGACTGATAGGTACAAGGTGAATATACACAGTGACAGTGAGATGAACCATCGGCTGATCCACTGTGACACAGTAAATATGAAGGAAAAGAAGGAGGTCTTGTTTAGTTGATTTGAATTGAATTGGCAATTTGATCGTGTCCTGCTGTTTTCAGTTTGACTCAAACGAAGTTGGTTTTCTGAGCACATCTAAAGGCAGAGTTCACAAGTTGTGATGTGTTTGCTGATGTTTCCGTAATGGTGAAAGCTGTGGACGTTTCTTGGTGGATGAAAAGTTTTTATATTGTTATTTTAGTTGTATAGACGTGTTCTTCGTAAATTTAGGTCCCGTTTATACGATTTCAACTGAAAACGGTAAACTTTAGTTGCGTTTTGGCCGATCGTTTACACGACAGCGGCGTTTTGGGTGCCTGAAAACGCAACATTTTGAAAACAGGTTCCAGAGTGCAATGTTTTGGAAACGGCAGCGTCTCCGTTGTCATGTAAACTTGCAATATGCAGTTCCTCTGAAAACGGAGACTTTTCGCACATGCGCATTACGGTTCCAGTCACTAGGCATGCCGACCGTCACAACAACAATGCCGAGCTCTGTTTGCGCTGCTCACCCTGTTGATTTGAAGTGAAGTGTAGATCTGTTACTGTAGCAACTCCACCTCGTCGTCCTTCCAGACAAAGTTATCCGTGCGTGCTTTCGCCATTGTGTCTTCTTTGTTTTGGTTTGTAATAATCGTGTTGTAGCAAAGAGGAAGGCGCTTCAGCGCAGGCGCATGGCGTCATGCCGTGGCGTTGCTTTGCAAATTTACACTGCCACCCATTGGGCCTGGCGTGCATACTACAGCGTTTCCAGTAGATTTTGCGGCTCCGTGTGATCGTTTCAATAACATCGTCATATAAACGCAGAAGTTTTTTAAAACACAAAGGACAGACTTTTCCATTTTAAGAGAAACTGCTGCCGTCTAAACAGGGCCTTATATGTCTGAGGGAAATTTTGATACTCCCAACAACCTCATCTCTCTGTCTTTATGCCTTTGTATTTCCTGCCTTGGTGACAGTAGTGTCCAGTTGCTGTTGCCTAGGTGTGGTGCTCTTACACTTTAACCACTTGAATGCCAAACATACGGTGTACACGGCTTCCCATGTGGTAACCAAGATCTCACAAGTTCCATCTGAAGGTAGCGATCATCCCCTAGAAGACATTCAAGGTATGAAGAATGAAGAGAGAACCTGAGAAACTCCAACCCTGCTCACTGTTGCTCCTCCGAACACCTCGCCAATTGTTGTTGTAGAACAGGTGTGATTGTTGGGTTTGGAAAGTTATGGAAAATGGTTGGGAAAAGGTTCTATTTCTGATCCACATGTGCAGAGGTACTTTTGCAAACAGGGTTTTTCCTCCTTCGTTCTCGAAAAATCCTGTCCACACAAGCACTGTTTAAAGAAATCTCTGTCCAAATGAAAATGCAAAAACACAATTGAAGCACTGTCACGAGTGTGCCAACCTATAGGTGGCAATATTACTGTGACCCTTAAGCCAGGCAAAGACGAAGATGTTGGCCAATCAGAAGACTGAAACCTGGAGCAGCCTTGCATTGATTTACATGTTGCAAATATTTTTATTTTATTTATTTATTTATTTATTTATTTTGGCAGTTTGTCTTCATTTTTGGTGCTCAGTGTCGTGGTGTGACTCATCAGCATTTCTGCACTGTACTTTCCAAAATTCACCTGTCAGTCAACAGTTGGCTTCACTGTTTAACTGATGCCATAATGTGAATCTTCTGTCTCAGATCTGTGTTAGTTTGAGTGCTCTTTAATTTTCAAGATAATTCTGCGTTCTCAGCGTTTACACAGTTGATCCTGGAAACCACATTAGTGCATGTTTTTTGACTTTTCTTGCTCTTTTTCAGTGACTTCGCTTTCCCATTGTCAAACAGCACAGCAATTATTATCAGCGGTGTCATCACTGAGCAGCAGACTGGATGCAGGGTGGTGAAGTGCACAGCAATTACTGGCACATATCTGGCAAAAAACAGGACAGTGAGTTTAAACTGATGACTGATAATAACCTGTTTGGTGACCGTAATGCACTCTGAGTTCTGCAAGTTCATAAAATCCACGAGATCAGAGCAAACTGAGCTGAACTGAGTGAAGCTGAGTGACAGTGGACTGTTGTCTTGGAGCCAGATGGGTTAAACCTGTCGGGTGGGGGTAGAGGTGACTTATCCTCTATGGGAATGACTGACTTAGATCTGCCATATGGTGGCTGTTTGGTGACTGTGGCTACTCTGTTGCTCCTTAGCCTCTGTTTATCTCCCTTATTTTAGCAAGTTCATCTTAATAACGGTTTGTTTTAAGACTCTCTGACTGTTATAAATGATAGTTTAACCTACAGCTACAGTTATAGCTATAGCCAGACCTATCTCCACACTTTGTTTCAGCGTTTTGCATGAAAAAACAACAGCCTCAGAGCTAGTAACCTGCACTCTAGACGTCTTCATACTGTTTTCTGTGGCCCTTTCTTTTGCAGGGATTTGACCACGTTAACGCCAGAGCTCACCCTCCCGACACTATTTTGCAAGAGCACCGTCGCTGCATCCTGGGCGTAGAGCCGCCCAAGACAATTGTAATTGGTTTAAAGCAGGGGTGTCAAACTCATTTTAGTTAATGGGCCACATGCAACCAACTGTGATCTCAAGTGGACTGGACCAGTAAAACCTTACATAATAACCCACAAATAACATGCCCTTCAAATGTTTCCCTTTTTTAGTGTAAAGAGGAAGTACATTCTGAAAACGTTTATCCATTTACAAATCAAATGAACTGTACGTTTTTCCACGTTCAGTC